CCTCGGGCCCCTGGACTAGCACGGCGTGCGCCTGGTGGGCGTGGGCCCTGAGGCCCTGGGCCTGCAGGAGTTCCAGGACGGCGGCTACTTCTCTGGAGGTGCGACCCTTCTTCCCTCTACCCACTCCTGGCCCGGGTCTGGCCCCGCGTGGTGAGGATGACCTCGCTGCTTCCTTGACCCCACTCTGTACCCCACAAAGCCTTCGGCCAGTGGCAGCGCTCCGTGGGTCCCCTCGGTCTCAGTGCCGCCTCTGAACCGTAGGGACAGTAGGCCACGCTGTGCTCCTTGTCCCTGGGTGGTCACCGGACAGGGCACGGAGGGCAGGGTGCAGGAGGCGGAGCCGGAGTGGGGCCGGGGCACACTGTGGCTTCCCTTTCCAGAGCTCTACCTGGATGAAAGCAAGCAGCTCTACAAGGAGCTGGGCTTCAAGCGGTAAGTGTGTCTGTCGGCGTGGCAGCACCCACGGGTGCCCAGGGCTCCCTGATACATCTTCTTGATAACACCCTCCTCTCAGCTGTCTGCTCAGACCTCCCTCAGCTGGCCAGCCCCTCTGTTGGTTTCTCTTGGTTTGGGTGTCTGTAATCGGCCTGGAGCCCAGCATACTGGCTGCTGGTGCCACATGCTGCCTGCCTGGATTGGCAGTGCCAGCTGAGCCACATCCCTGGGCATACCCAGCCTGGAACTGGTCCCACATTCCATGCCTTCCGCAAGGCCCAGGCCAGCCATCTGTGGGCGGGGTGCCCGGTGGCTCCTGTGGCTGCTCCTGGCCAGGCTGGTTGCTGATGTAGCTGCCTGGTGCCATCTCAGAGCCTCTGGTGAGGTGAGTGGGTGGGTTGGGGCCTGCCCTGAGCTGGCCTCAACCTCTGGTGGAAAAGGAGCAGGTGCTGGGTCCCAGGCTCTGCCTGTGAGCCTGGCCCAGCAAGCTGGTTCTTTGCAGATACAACAGCTTGAGCATCCTGCCGGCTGCCCTGGGGAAGCCTGTGCGAGACGTGGCCGCCAAGGTTTGTGGCAGCCAAGGTCCTGTGGGACCAGGGGTGGTGGAAGCCCCTGGGGGTTCCCTCTAGGACTGCCTCTGTTCTGCTGCTCCAGGCCAAGGCCACTGGCATCCAGGGGAACCTGTCTGGGGACTTGCTGCAGAGTGGAGGGCTGCTGGTGGTCAGCAAAGGTGGGTCAGACTGTGTCCTCAGTGGATATCCTTGCTGGATTTGGTGGCTGCACCATGACCATCTCTGGCTTGTCCCATCTCCTTGTAGCTCCTCCTCTTGGTCTGGCCTGGCCTTGGGTGTTGGCTTGGCAGGGTGGTAGAACCAGAGTACCTGCTGCAGGTTGCTTTGACCACCTGCCTGCTGACATAGGTGGTGATAAAGTGCTACTGCACTTCACCCAGAAGTCCCCAGGTGACTATGTGTCCCGGAAGAGCATCCTGCAGGCCCTGGGCATCTCTGCAGATATTGGCACCAGCGAGCCGCCCCAGGTGAGTGAGGCCTGTAAACAGCTGGAGCTGCTGTTGCTGTGATTCCTTTTGCAGAGGAAAGAGGTGGGGGTGGGGGGGACATAACCCAGGGGTAGTGTGGCCAGGCAGGCAGAGCTGGTCCTCCCCTGTGGGCAGTGGGCTGCACCGGGGCTGTAGGCTGGATGAAGAAAAGGCTGCCCTCTTGGCTGCAGGAACCGGGGGTCTGTCAGCTGTCCCTGTCTGTATTAATATGGTCCTGGTAGCTGACTCCTGCCTCAAGTGGACAGGAGTGGCCCGTAGGCCAGGCTGCTTCCTGTGGCCAGCATGCCCCCTTCTCTACATGGGTGGGTAGATGGACCCTGAGCTGTGGCTGACCTGACCAGGCTCCTTTCTCTGCAGTATGACGAGGAGGTGTGTGGAAGGTGACAGCCCCTGCCTTGTGGACCTGAAAGTCATCTGCTTCTGGGAGTATGGTGGGTGCTCAACTGGAACAACTGTGCAGTTAGTTGCTGGGCCGCAACTCTGGACCTTGCCTGATTCTTGGGCAGCACTGAGCCATTAAAACTGCAGTTCCTGGGCACCACTTTTCTTCATTGGCCACACACTGTGTATCTCTGCAGCTCCCATCTCACCCACTGTTGGTCTCTAGGGGCGCCCTGGGTGTGGGTGAGGTCATTGTCCCATCATGAAGGTCATTGTCCTTGCTGGGAATGTGCCCTGCAATGTCTTTGTGGACTCAGGCTTCTGGTGCACAGGATGCTGGGGCAGCCCTCACTGCTGTGCCCTTTGTTTCAAAGTGACCTTGCAGCCTGGGTCACCTTTGGGGACCAGCAGAGAGGAGGTTTTGGGTGGGTGCTGAGGACTCCCATGAGCTCAGGGCTTGTACTGCAGGATCTGGAGGCTGGGTGGGTTTTCAGGGAGGAGGTGGTTTTGACTCCACTAGATGCATTCTGGGACAGCTTCACGCTGAAGGCCCTCTGTGACGGCAGAGTCATCACATGAACCCTACTGCAGCAGCTGCAGGCCTTGGCCTGGCTGTCTCAGCTAGCACAGCATATGCAGTTCCCAGCCACTGTCCCACCCGGTCCTGACAGATCCAGAGCAGGAGTCTGTACCCCACCCCCATGGGAGGCCTCCCCTCTTGAGGGCTCTTTGATCTTAGTGGGTTCTTGGAACCCCAACACCTGCGTTTCCCAGGTCCAAGCCTGGTTGACCGTAATGTCCTGGTCCCTCCACCACAGCCACTTACAAACAGAGCAGGCAATGTCCCCTTTCCTGCTCTGGCTTCCAATGACACAAAACCAAATTTGTAGTCCCACCTGCACTGGGTACCTCCATGCCTCTGCCTGCCTTGAGTCAGGCTCCCTCCCATCTGAAAGTGGATGTTTGGGGATAGCCTGCTTATCCCCAGAAGGGGAGGCTGAGAGCTTATCAGGAGTCCCTCTTTCCTCACTCCCCCCCTTCTTAACTCCCCCACCTGGCACGGTTTGCCAAGCTGGCTGGCACACAGCTCCTTCTCAAAGATGAGGTTGTCACCTTTGAAGCGTTTATTTGGCCCCAGTCTGAAACTTGTGGACACTGAGGACAAGCACGAGGGAGCAGAAGACAGCTGACCGTGTCGGGCTGTGATGGGCCCTGGCCCTTGTGGGTGGTGTGGAGGGCTGCAGCCTGGGCACAGCTTTCCCTGGGTGCTCGCCGAGTGCACAGTGGCTGCAGGGCACAGATGCGGGTCCCTGCCAGCTCCTGCCAGCCCCCACTGGCTGCACCTTAGCCGAGCACCTCCCCTCCCAGCCGTGTGGCATGGGCCATGGAGTGCAGCTCGGCCTTGGCTACCAGATGCGGCATCGCTTCTTGGGGTGCATGGGCGTGCCCTGGGGGCAGTGGAATGCATCGGCGAAGGCAGGCAGGTTCTGTAGGGAGCCTAGCACCCTGTGAAGGAACAGGCTGAAGTGGGGCCATGGCAGGTGAGGTGTGGGGCAGGGTCCCTGGGTGTGCAGTGCACTTGCCTGTACTTCAGGGGGCTGTGGACATCAGTCTTGATGGACTGGATGGCGAACTCGGGCCGGTAGGACCCACACCACACCTACAGGTGCACAAGGGATGTAGCCAAGAGTCGGGGCTGGGAGGGGCTGGTGTTGCCCCTTGGTTTGGGGGGAGACCCCCAGCATTTCTGCCCCTTGGGGATGGGAAGCCTGCAGTTTCGTGTCCTTCCTGCACATGGGCATCGATGCCCCAGTGGCCCAGCCTTTCCTCCAGGAAGCCTGCTGGGCCTGCAGGCTCTGTTTCTGGGAGCTGGCAGCCCCCTGAGCCCTCCAAAGACAGATGGGTGTGGGTGAGCCCTGGGGCTGGGTCTTGTGCGCTACCTGAGCGTAGTTGACAAAGAAAAGCTGTTTGTAGGTGAGCTTCAGCCCAGGCAGCAGCTGGTCCTTGCCACCTTCTGCCATCCACTTTAGGTAGGCCTGTGGGCACCAAACAACACAAGGTGGCAGACACCTGGCACTCCTGCCAGGCCTCTAGAGTCCTCAGATCTCCATGCAGATTGGAGGTCTGGCTCCAGGACTCACCAAGGGGAGGGGGAGCTGTGTGTGCAGTTTGGGCCATTGTGGTGATACCAGCAGGGCACCTGGCCAGGCAGCCAGCAGCTGCACTCTCAGAACAGGCTCCTGAGGCTGCAGGGGCTGGGCTGTTGAGGCTGTCCAGCATGTGGTCTGTAGCAGACAACTCTGCCCACTGCTAGCAAGCTATAGCGGCATGAGCTTCTTGCCCCCGCTATAATTTAGCTGTGTATATTTCAGGAGTCTGACCAAAGCTTACAGGACTTGGACGGGCACATCAAATAGCACAGTTGGGCCAGTACTGCTCCTCTGCTAACGGCTGCTACTGAGAATTAAGTCCTAGTCCGTGAAGTAGCAGGGCTGGGCTGAGTTCACTTCCAATCAAGTTTAACTGGCTCCAACTAAATTCTACTCTTGTACAGCGTTTGTTCTCTTCAGCAAAGACATGCTTGTGCCCACACTCTGCAGTCCTGCCTGCTTGGTCCTTGTTTTCAGCAGGTGTCCCAAGGCCAAGCTCCCTCCTTCCCATGCTTGTAACAAATAAAACACTGGGTGTCCTTGGGAATGTCTTTGTCTTTGCTGCCTGAAGCAGTTTAGATCAGCCCAAGACTCAGTTTCTTTCAAGTCTCTGTGTTTTAACTCCCACTTTCCTATCTCACAAACATCATACTGGCTGACAAAAGGCCAAAAGGATTGTAGGGATCTCTGATGGCATCCCATTACCCTTTCCCTATAGTGGTCCCTGCCTAGCATCTCAAAGAGTCCTCCATACCAGCTCAGAGGGCTGTGATGCCCACTACCTGAGTCCCTCAGGTGCTCTGGGGGCCCTGCTATCTGCCCAGCTGGGAGAAGAGGTGCCAGGCACAGCCCCCTGCCCCGAGGCCCTGCCCCCCCACTGGGACCCACCTTGTATGCCTGGCGCACCCCTCCGTTATCTGCGATGTTTTCCCCAAGGGTGCTGAATCCATTCACCTGTACACAGGACACAGGGTGGAGGCAGCCACACTCTGCTCCCTTCGTCCCACGGCGTTAGGGTGAGGATGAGGGTGGTGCTGGCGGCCTGGCCCACTCACGTTCTGGTTCTCAGCCAGGTCCCAGCTATAGTTGCCGTACTGTTGGACCATGCACTTCGACTGCTCCTGGAAGTGCTGGGCAGAGAAGTTACTCCACCAGTCTAGCATGTTGCCATTCTTGTCGAAGTTCCGGCCTGGGCAGGGTGAGGCAGAGGTGGACTGTCCCCGACCCCAGCAGAGGCTGACCCAGGACCCCACTGTTACCGCATCTCCTCCAGTCCTGCATCTAGGGCTCACAGTTCTGGACCAGCAACTGATCCCCGAAGAGCCTTGCCATGCTCCAGGGGTGTCCAGAGAGGGAGGGTACAGTGGTCTCCACGCCACCCCAAAGTCAGGGGCTGGAATCACTGGCTTTGAAGACCTCCTGTGTTGGCCAAAGTTTCTACACCCAGGAGAGGGAGCACATGACCCTGGGACACAGGGCTGGGTCCCCCATACATAGTGGCAGGGCAGCTATGGGTGGAGTTGGCTTGGGCCAGGAAGGGGAAGTGAGCCTTCAGTCAGAAGTCAGGGTCTCTGGCATGCAGGAGCCAATCTTTGTGCCCGTGCCCCCTTGCCCACAGCAGTTCTCTGCACAGGGCCTGGGCCGCAGCTCCCTGGGATCCTTTGCATGTGTCCTGTGGCCTGACCTCTGTCCCCCTAAGCCACGAAGAGGCTGGGGTATGTGTGGTTGCAGGTGCAGCTCTGGTTGGGCCGACCCCAGGACCCCTTTACCATTGTCATCAAAGCCATGCATGATCTCATGGCCAATCACCATCCCGATGCCCCCAAAGTTCAAGGCTTGTGGCTGCTCCTTGCTGAAAAAGGGTGGTTGGAGGATCCCAGCAGGGAATACTGCCAGGGGGCGGGCAAAGAGTCAGCTGGGAGTGGTCGCATGGCGTGCCTGGCTCAGGCAGGCCCCTCCAGGGGTCCTGTCATCTTATCTGGACTGGGAGGTGGACGGCAGGACCCCCACACATGTACAAATGGCAAAACTGAGGCTCAGAGGTCTGGTGGGAAGGGCTTGAGTGTGGCAGGCTCATGAGCCGCGCCCAGCTTCTTACCCCTCTGTGCTGCCCTCAGGAGCAGCTCCTCTGCTGCACTTTGTCCCTCCCCGCAGGCACAGGAGGGCACCCAAGGGCTGGGTGGCGGGCAGATGGCCAGCAGGAGGGGTGGGATGTGAGCTTACCGATCTGGTTTCGGTTTGGGGAGTAGAACATGTTGACCACTGCGGCCCCAATGATCCAGCTGTGGTACACATACCAGTCACCTAGAGCCTGCACCTCCTGGGACACTCCCTCTGTGCCCTTTCTGCCCGATGTCACAATGGCCACTTCAGAGCAGGTCCCGTGCCATTCCCAATCTCTGGGGACCCTGTGGGAGGTGGCTCCAGCCCATAGAAGCAGAGGGTACTGGGGGGCTGTGATGGCCCCAGTGTCCTTCCCCAGCTAGGCACAAAGCTGTCCCTACCACTCACAGATTCTGGTCCACTTTTTCCTGAAGCTTCCTGAGGCTCCTGTGGGCGCTGGCCTTGAGATTCTGCAGTGTGTTCTCGAAGTACAGGTCCTCTGAGAAGTTCAGCTGGGGGAGAAGGGCCATCACAGCCGGTGTCCCAGTGGGTCCTCAGAAGCAGCCTGAAGGGTCTGGGTATAGGTGGATGGGGTTGCCCTAGCTCTGAATGAACTCCTTAGTCCCTCCTGGCCTCAGTACCCCCATCCATAACTAAGGCTGATACCACTGCTGCCCCAGGAAGGTGGCTGAATTGGTGACTGGGAAGATGGCAGAGTGTCTGGCACAGTGCCCCCTCCCAGGTCATCAAGGGTCTGGTTCCCTGGGGGCAGCTCAGAAGCAGGGGAGGTGGGTGGGGTGGGTAGGGAGCTCTGGAGGGGTGGGGCGCACGCTGGAATACTCCTGGTCCAGGCGCCTGTTGTTCTCCTCGAGTATGTAGTTGGGGTAGCCAATCTGCTCCTGGATGCTCATGGCCTGAGGGGGAGCGGAGAGCAGGCTATAAAGGCTGGCACTGCTCACTGTGGGAGGGAAAGGGGCTAGCGGACCACCTGTGGGCCCCCACAGAATCGGACACAACTGGTGGCTGCCACTATTTGTCCACAGCCTTGCTGGGTCCCTGGGTGCTGGGATTTCCTGCACCCCTACCTTGTGCCCCACGCTGTCCTCTCCAGTGGGGCCAAGACTGCTGGACTTGGTGGATGCCCATAGCTCTATCTTCAGGGCTCCGCAGGAACTGGCTCCAGCACCTCTGCCCCTGCCAGGCCCCTGCCTGGCCCACTCACCTTCTCCTGGGCCTTCTTCTTGGACTCCTTGTCCATCCAGCCTAGCTTGTCCAGGGACTCCACGAACACAGCCCGCACCTTGTTGATGAGCTCTCGGACCTGGGGGCAAGCGAACCCTTGAATCTGGCTGCCCCAGGGGTGTGGGGGTGGGGGTGACACTTTGCTCAGGGTCCTCATCCTGGGTCTGCCTGGCCTGGATTCACAATGTGTACAGCCTGTTCTCCTCCCAGGCGCAGATGCAGGGTCCAGAGTGGAGGGCTGGCTGGGGTCAGGAGGTCAGAGGTCTTCCTCTGTCTGGTGGGCCTAGGGCACACACGGGCCCCTCCAGGTGGAGGGACCGTGGGGCCTACCTGGCCCCGAGTGTGTGGTGGTGGCCACAGGGCTTCTGTGGGGTGGCGGTAGATGGGGCGCCTGGCCCCGGGAAATCAGGGACACCCACCATGTCCTTGCTGTTCCCGGGGAAGGCCTCCTTGACGTACAGGGAGCCCACGGCGCTCTCCATGTTGCTGTTGACGTAGCTGACACATTCCCGCCAGCGCACCTCCTCCACCATGGTGCCGTACAACACCTGGTGGACCGTTAGTTCGGTCCTTCACTCATTCCTTTCACCATATCACTTTCCTGGTCTGTGTGGGGCCCACCCCATCCAGGGTCAGAGGGGACAAGGTGACTCTGAGTGCCTCTGAGCAGTTCTGGGGGAGGCTCCTCCCCAGGCTGGAACTTGGGCCTCTTTTCTGGGAGGTGGGGTGGCTCCTCCTGGGTCCCTGCCCTCTCTCTTGATCTAGATGGCTGCCCCCAAGGTCCAGGCTGGCACTGATCCAGAGCAGCCACTCTGGCCACCAATCTCCACTGGCCTGGCTTCCCATGGATGGAGTAGAAACGAGAATGCCAGCATGTCTCCAGGATGCAAGGGGACAAGAGGGAAACGTCCCCATTAGATGTGATCCTCAGCCCTGCAGTCTTTGCTCACCTTGGCTGCAACCCCCACTCACAATGGGCCGGCCGGCCTGGTGGGCGGAGCCTCCTCTGGAACTTACCTTGCTGTAGTTCACCCGAGTGTCCTTGAACCGCTGGCTCAGGCTGCTGATGCGATCCAGCACCAGGCGCCAAACAAGATAGTTCTGCAGGGTCCTGGCAGGGAGGAGGGACGTGGTGAGCACTCTGTGGGTGGGGACCCCCACCCTTGAGAGGCCCCCGTCTCCAGTGCAGGGCTCCCTGGCCATCAGAGGAACCTCCAGCCCTTCAGCCCTGGGGTGACCGGAGACTCCCTTTCCTGAGAGCAGTGCTGGCAGGGGTGGGGAGAGCAAAGAAGCTGAGGCCCCTCGGGACTCCCCAGCCTCACCTGGCCGAGTAGAGGTCGATGATGCTCTCAAGGTTCTGCAGGTAAGGGATGCCGTAGACCACTACTTCCTCATTGGGCAGCAGCTCAATTTTGACGGAGGACAGCACAGTTTGTATAAAGAGAGTCCAGTTAAAACCCTGGAGATGAAAGAAGCAAGGACACAGGCAGAGAAGTCCTGTGCATCTGAGAAACAAGATTCCCAGGAACACTCAAGAAATGAGAGCAATGTGGGATCAGGGGAAAGGTGGAGCATTTCTACAGGGCCTAAGGACTGAAAACTGGGAAGAGTATATGTCAGGAGAGTTGAAAAATTAAGTGTAACTGGGAAAATTCCTGCAAAAACACAGCTTAGCAAAAACGACCAAAGAAGAGGTAGAAAGCACTAGTAGTCTTGTGGACTCACTAAGCTGAATATTTAATTTGAGATGTCCCACAAAAAAACTTCCAGGCCCATTGGGTTTTAGAATTATTTTACTGGTATCTGGCATTTAAGAGACCTCACCTCCAAGCTTACTCAGCAATTTCCAGAGAGGAGAAAAAGCAAATTCCTTCAACTTCCTCAGTGAGGCCAAGAATAAGGACATCTTACAAGAAATGAAATAATAACCAGTCTAACTTATGACTGTAGGTACAGAAATTCTAAGCAAAATATCAGCAAACAGAATTTGCCTAAACCAGCAGAAAATGGCTGTACATTAAAGCCAAATTAAGTGTATTCAAGGAATGTAAATTTGATGTCATAATGGGGAATCAATTCTCTATTGGTCAGGAAGATAACTGAATAAAGGTAGAAAATAGAACGATGACTTCAGTAGATGCAGAAAAAGGCATTTAGTAAACTCTGCTGTCATTCATGGAAACATCTGGCAAACTAATAGCCTCAGAGATCCATAATCAGATAAAGGGAGTCCTTAGAACAGAACATGGTCCACATCAACATGGAACCAAATTGGGTGGGTTCAAGGCTCTGGAAAGACATGACACCCACTGTCCCAGCCAGACACGATAAGAAAATGAAATAAATCAATGACATGAGACTGGAAATAAATAAAACGGCTGTTTTTCACAAATGACCGTGTTTTGTGTGAATAAAATCTGAAGGCGTCCACAGATACAGCTTTAGGCCTAGCCAGTTGAGTAAAAACTCTATACGCTCCCAACAAACAATAAAAAGATACATCATAAAATGTTACTTGTTTTTAGTAGTATAAAACACTTAGAAACAAATCTTATAAAAGCCCCATGAGAACTTGAAATAGAAAGCCAAGAAACTCATTGAAAGAAATGAAAGGATCGATAGTTGGAAGTATATCATGTACCGGAAGACTCAGTGTTTGGAAGGTGCTAATCTTCCTCAAATGCATGAAGATCCGCAGCAATTCCTGCTGAAATTCCAGCAGGTTTTCCTGTGGAATCAGCAAGCTGATTTCAATGAAAATGCAAAGCACCCAGAATAATCCACACAGTCGTGAAGAACAAAGCTGTGAGCTTTGACTGTTGCTGTCCCGACTTACTAGAAAGCTATAGTAGTGGTGGGCAGACCGCATGGATAGGCCATGGGACAGAGCCATCCAGCAGCACACAACCACACAGACACTTGACTGACACAAAGACAGCACATGGCCAATGGACACGGAGATCTTATCAACAAACGGTGCTGGTTTACCTGAAATCCAGAGGAAGGACAAGACAATCCTGACATCGCCTTGTCCTCACAAAATCAACTCTTAGTACATTGTAGACCTGGACACCCTTGAGGTAGGCAAAGACTACTGAAGTAGAGCACAGAAGACACTAACCACAAAGAGGAGATTGCTGCCTTTGATAAGATGATAAATTGGACAATTAAAAAAATCTCTTTGGAGACGAACCACAATGAGGAGAACCAGCTGCATAGTGGGAAGGGTGCCGTACATACCAGCAAACCACAGGCTGCATCCAAAGTCTCCGAAGACTGCTAAGAACAAGGCAGGCAGCCAGCAGGACAAGAGGGCAAGAGGCTTGAACAGATGTGTCCCAGGGAGACAGCCCTCAGCCTAGCCATGAGAAGCGCAACGGTGATTGAATACACAAGGAGCATTTCAATTTTAAAAGTAGCCTCATAAAAACATCACGCTGTGTCCTCATCCACATTATTCACTGATTTGTTCCAGTGTGACTTCTGGCTCTTCCCCAAAGTCAAATGACCTTGAAAAGCCAACATTTTGTATTAATTTAGGACACTGAAGCAGCCAGGACAGTGCAACTAGACACTCAGGGAAGAAGATTCCAGAGCTGCTGCTGCTTGAAGTGGCAAGAATGATGGGATGAATTAGAGTGGAGGGGAAGGATTTCAAGGAGGCTTCTCAGCAGCATGACTGTTACTGTAGTAAATAAAAAAATTTAAACATTCTCTATTTTTCTATTTGCTTAACTTCTCTGGCCTCAGGGAAGCCAAGGTGAGCCCAGATGGGTGCCCCCCATGTTCCCTAGAAGGGCTAAGATGAGAAGAGGGGATGCTACCAGGCCCTGGGCAAGGCCATGCCACACCCCATGGCTGGAGACATAAACTACTACGAAGAGGGCCTGTGCGTTGGAGGTCCACACCTCTACCCTGGCAGCTTCACTCCCAGTGGGCACAGGCAGAACCCCACCGGGCATTCCTCCAAAGCCACAATCCAGCATGAGCCAGGCAGCATTGCTTAGCAGTGTCCAAAACTGGGGCCCACCCAGAACCTGATCTCAGGGGTCAGGGACACAGCTGCTGTATGTCCTCAAACCTCAATGCTAGCAGCCACCAAGCCGGGTGAAGGGCTGCACGGTGTCCTGGTGTGCGCGGGTCTGGTCACAGGGGCACAGCAGAAGCCCAGGGCAACAGGTGCCCGGATGGAGGGAGAGCTGGGTGGCTCTGGGCGGGGGCAGAGGCAGTGATGGGAAGGGACACCGGAGCTCTGGGTGCCAGGAATGATGGAGTCTTGGCCTGAGCAGTGTTGGTATACATGGCTCACTGCATGGCCATTCTAAGCATGGTAAACCAAACGCCCCCAAAATCCAAGTCCCAGATGTCCCCGCCCGCCCCATGCACCTCCATGGTGACTCCAGGGTTTGAGCCTTTCTCAACTTCCCACATTTCACCCATTGCCCGTCCTGTGGGTTCCCCCCTCACATACACTCAGGAGTCATCTCACTGCCTCCCGGACTGGCTGCCCTGTGCCCCAGCCGGGCTGGACTACAGCCCTGGGCCACGTCCTCTGGGCCCATCTCAGCAGCCTAGTCCTTGTAATCATGAAGCAGCCATGTCCCATTTCTCACCCAAACTCCTCCTGGGGGTCCAAGCCTTCACACCCTTGGGCCATGTGGTCCACTGATCCCCATCTCCCTCCAGCAACCGGCCTGTGGCCCTTGGCTAAGCACTGAGCAGGTGGGGCTGGGTCCAGGGTGCTGGGTCTCCTGCCGCAGTCTGGTGTGCTCCTCTGCATGCCGCCAGGGCTAAGATGGCATCTGCCCAGCCTTCACCATCCCAGAACAGTTCACAGGCCCCGAGCTTTGGTATCCTGATAAACTAGGTCTTCACCATACCTCATGGGGACCAGGTGACACCCACTGGCCTGTCCAGCCTCACTGTGTACACTGTGGGGTTGGTGGTGGGCTTATGCTGAGGGACTCTGAGGCCTTGGTGGGGCCCTGGGACTCAGCTGGTCTCTGGAAGGGTGTGGTAGCCTCACCTTTAGGCTGAACCTGTCCTGAAGCTGCTGCAGGTTCATCCTGTGGTACAATTCGGTGACGTCGTGCCTCTCCTCAGAGGGTGTGGTAGCCTGTGGAGGCCAGGATATGTGGGTGGGCAGTCAGGGCCTGGCCCTGCGACCCCCAGCCTGGGCCCTGCCTCACATTGGCCAGGTGAGTCTCCAGCTCCAGCACCTGTGCCATGTCCTGCTGCACCAGGGGGCTGTCCCCAGGCAGCTTGTTGTCCCTCCGCAGCATGGTGGCCACTGATGTCATGAACTGCAGGTAGGCATCCTGCACCTGGGCCAAAGGAAGAGATCTTTGGGCTGGGGTGGAGGACACAGAGCAGCCCTCGAACCCCGGGACACACAGCGAGGGATGGGAGAGAAACAGGAGCTGCCCTGCCTCGGCCAGGTCAACTTGACCCCACTCCTGATGAGCTGGGTGCTCCCTGCACTGGGCCTGCCCCAAACTGGGGGCTAAGTGTGCCAGGGCCCTTCTGGGTAGCCCAGGCTGAGCTTCTGTCCCAGCCCTACCACTGGCCAAGTGAGCAGCCTGAGGGTTTGTGGCGGGGATGCTGTGCAGAGCTGCCCAGGCTGCCCTGCTCAGGCTCCCAGCATCGCCTCCTGCCTGGGCCTCCCTTCCTCATGCCTGCACCTGGCAAGCCTGTGCCCCCAGCCAGGCTCAGCCAGATCTGTCCTGGGCTCCTTCCTCTGGCTACAGCTATCCTCCTCCTGGCTCCCTGGCCTTTGCCCAGCCTTTCCTGTGTGGCTGCCACCCTCTGCTTTCCACACTGCTCATGTGATGCCCTTGGCCTTGGGGCCTGCTCTGTCTTCCTTTGCCTCCTCCTCTTGGTCCCAGCCTTCTCCAGCCACCTCTCCTCCCTGACTAAGCTCCATGTGCAGGAACAGAAAGCCAGACAGCACAGGCCTGGCTACCTTGGATCCTGGCATGTGGACCTGGCTCTGAAGCAGGACTTAAAAGAAAAACAAGTCCTTTCTAGCCCCCCCATTGGGCAGCCCCCATCACCCCCACTCCCCTGTAGCTGTCACTCCTTATTCTGATACAAATAAAATTAACAACTATGTCCTGTAAACAAAGTTCATGACATTCTCTTCTCATATGATGAATCATAAGAGTCTCCTTTTTTTTTTTGATATCGGGGATCGAACTCGGGTTCTTGCACTTGCTAGGCAGGTGGTGGAACCACTGAGCTAAATCCCTGGCCCAAGAGTCTGTTTTCTTTAAGGCAAAGTTATGAAACTGTCTGCCCTTGTCCTATTTGGGTAAACTCACTTGCTACCTCACTAGAAAAACCACCACCCTCCAACAAAATGCACGCAAGCTGGATTCTCTCTGTACAGTGCTCAGCCAAGTTGACACAGAGTCCACTGAGCCCATGCACACCTTAAATAAATCCTCCTGGCTCCCATTTGGTCCCTCTCATCTCTTGGAGTTCTGCATAGGGTGTTGGGGCCCAGCTGAGCTGCTGAAGGGTGACCCGCAGGTGTGCACAGAAGCTGGCAGTAGGGAGGAAGGGCTGGTAGGCAGAGAGGAGCACTGGGGCCTCAGTTTACCTTCTGGTTGCTGCTTTCCTTGATGTAGTACTCCCGGGATGGCATGCCCAGCATGGGCTGGTCTATCTGGAAACACAGAGGTTGGGACCCTGGCGGGGGCCGGGACTCTGTGCAGTCTGGCAGAACTGCAGCAGTGCGCAGCCCCTGGGACCCCAGGCCCTGCCTTGGTTGACAGGAACAGTGCAGAGATGGAGGAGGGGACTTACGGGAGGCTGGTGAAGGGCCACATAACACCCCTAGGGTAGTGTCCACGTTTCCCTGGCCTTTTAGCTGTGGCCGGTGTGTGGCCCTTTGAGGTCCAAGGGCTGCACTGTTCATGAGGATGAGGCCACTAGGCCACCTTCTGACCAGAGCCTGGGCCATAGCCCATCAAAGCCTGCTCAGCAGCCTGTTCTGGACCCCAATGTGGACAGGCAGAGCTTGGGAAGCCAAGCCCAGGAACCCCCAGAGCTCACCAACCCCCCGGCCACTGCCCTGGCCCATTCTCTCTGTGTGGCAAGACCCTGGCCAGGCGTAGGCCCCATCTGGTGCATACGTAGATGATGTGGCGGCTGGAGTTCAGGTCGTCATTCCACACGAAGAGGTCGATGAGCACCCGCCGGTTGAACTGTGTTCATCACCGCCAGCTGCCGCTCCAGCTCCCATGTGGGGCCTGGGGAGCAGCACCCAGCTGGGGGGCTGAGGACTCGGTCCAGCCCTTCCTGGCCAGTGCCTAGACTCCTAAGCTCAGAATTAAGGTGTGTGGGACCCCTGCCTGCTTAGGGTGGCAAGCTCCCGCGGGGCTGTGGAGGCTAGGACAGGGGAACATAATTCCTGACCAGCCCCTGGAGATGCCACTCTGCCACCATTGCTCAGAGCTGCACCAGGGCCTTGGAGTCCAGGGGTTTAGGAGGGACCTGTTACTGTGAACCCATCACAGCAGCACCAATGGCTCAGCCTGGGGCTGGAGTTGGCTCCTGCCACCCTCAGCTTGGCTCTGGCAGGGATGAGCCTTTTGGGTCTTCCTGGGCTCCTTGAGTTTTGGTACCCAGAAGCGTTCAGGTGGCTCAAGCCAGGTGGGCTGTCTCTGCTGCATGGCCTGGGACCCTGGAGCCTTAGGGCCTGCAGCCACCTGTGTGCAGGCTACCACCAGTCCTGGCTTTACCTATGGTTTCGTTCCACTTGTCCATGGCCACTGGCCAGCCTCCCACCACTGCCAAGATGTCCAGCAGAGGCTGAGAGTCCCGCTTCTCTATCACACCTGAGAAGGAGGGTAGTGGTCACTTGCTAGGCCCAGGGGGGCCATGTGCCACACTTCTAATAGGAACCAAAGCACTGGGAATCGGCCCTGCGTGTACCACACCCACACATGTCCATGTGTACATTTACACAAACACGCATGGAGGCCTATAATACAACACACCCACACAGGGTACACTGTACAAGCTCATGTGCATACCTGCATATGCACAATACACATAAACACAAGCCTGACACAACACACACACAGACATATGTAAGTACGTACACATGTGCCGCCTCAGTTTGGATCAGAAATGCTCCCTAAGAGGCTCATGTATCCAGGGGGTGCTTCTGGAAGATGATTGGACCCTGGGGGGCTGCACTTATGGATGGAGTGGCACATGGACAAGTGCACAAGGGAGTGAGTTGGAGGAAGGGGCCTGGTGGGAGGAAGTGGGAGACTGGGGCATGACCTGGAAGGACCTGTCTTATCCCCACCCTTTCTGCTCCCTCCGGCTCTTTCCCTTCCTCTCTGCTTCCTGGATACCATGAAGTGAGCAGATTTTCTCTGCTGTGCCCTTCTGCCATAATCTTCCCCACCGTGGACCAAAATCTCTGAACTGTGACCCAAAACAAACCTCTCCCCCTTTGTTTTTCTCAGACATGTGGCCACAGAGATGAAAAGTACTCTCTCTCTCTCTCTCTCTCTCTCTCTCTCTCTCACACACACACACACACACCATAGCATGCACAGATATCCACATATCCTCATGCACATCCAAGTGCACCTACATACAACACACGCACAAAACACACACACACACACACACACCATAGCATGCACAGATATCCACATATCCTCATGCACATCCAAGTGCACCTACATACAACACACGCACAATGTAACATACATGTGACACATATGTACACATGCACACACACGTTCATGAATGTCCTGGGCTCCTGCTTCCTGCTGCTTCTACTGGCTTCTCGCTGCCCAGACAGAGCCTGGCCTGGGTGTGAGGTCTTGGGCAGCTGGAATCCACCTGCACCAGTAGGCAGGCTGGCTCTGTGGCCAGGTGGGAGCACTGCACACAGACGCTCAGGCTGGTCTGGGCGGCACCCTCCCACCCCGTGCCTCACTCACTTTGGTTCATGCAGGAGCGGTACAGCAGCTTAGCCTTCTCCATGGCTGGCCGGGACTTGGCGGTGGAATTCTCCAGCACCCCTGTGGGCAGAGGCCGGGGTGGCCACTGGGGGCCCAGGTCGGTGGTCCCTCTCTGTGGCCTCTGGGCCTGTATCCCAGGCAACCCTTCCCTTCCAGGAGCTGCATGGGCATAGCCCTGCCCACCTCAACTCCTGGTCTTCGCAGGGAACATGGCCAGCCCTGCCCCCACCCAGCCTGACCCGGGGCCCTGCCCCCACCTTTGAGGATGACCTCCATCTCATCCCGGAGGATGTCGAAAACGCTGTAGCGGGAGCTGGTCTCAGGGATGACATGACGCCGCAACCAGCCCCCACACGCGTACTGGTAGAAGTTGTTACATGGCTCTGTGGATGGGTCCATGTTTTGGAGGATCCTGGCAGCTGCTCACCCCAGGGGGTGGAAGAGGAAGAGGGCAGAGCGAGCTGCAGAAAGCCCGAGAGCCCCTCTGGGCCTCAGATGTGGTCTACCAACTTGGGAGGGCTGTGGGAGACTCAGGGCAGCTGTGTGCCCTTGGGAGAGTCCGTCACCCTCTCAAGCACAGTGGGGCTGGAAGGGGTGGGCACCCAGCTGGATTCTGGGGCCAGGGCTCCAGCTTATTAACCACAGCCTTAGGCCACTGTAGCTTCTTAGCGCCTCATTTCCCAGGACACCAGCATTCTGACCTGGGGACCAAAGTGATGGTGGGGATGGTTGCTGCCCACAGGACGTGCCTGGATCACAGTGGCCTTGCCCTGTGAGCTGCGTCTGGCCCCTGGCTGTTCCCGACAGCCCTTCATTTGTGAGAGTGCTGGTGCTTACTCACCAACCAGGGCGTGTCTTCTGTCCGGGGTGGCTGTGTCCCAGGACCCCAGAGAGATCTGAGGTTCTCAACTGACTGCTCTGGGCTGGGGTGGCTGGGCTGGACTCCCCTCCCACACAGGACTTCCACCCAGGACCCCTCCCCCTGCCAGGAGCCCCACCCAGGGAACAACCCCCAGGCCCCGGCCTTCTCTGCTTGACTCAGTCCCATCCCCTCTGAGGAGGGGACCGGGTAGAAAGCAGCATCCCAGACCCCAGCCAGCAAGGGCAGAAAATCATGCTGAGTTCCCCACCGTCTCTCCCTCCCACTGCTCTAATATCTGCAAAGAGCAGTCTGGGCCCCAGTGTTAGATTCCTGGGAGAAGTTCCTGACTGTTGGCCTTTCCTTTGGCAGCCACAGGAACATGCTGAGGGGAGGACAGGTGGCCAACAGGGGACAGAGTTTGGGTGGCTGCTTGGCCCTCGGCAGGGCTGCCGCAGGGAGAGGATTTACTTGCCACCACACAACCAGAGCTGGTAAAGACCTTGTCCTCCGAAACCGGCTCCCGGGGGGCTGTGGGGAGACAGAGTGAGGGCAAGGAGGGCGGGCCACAGCCTGGTGGGCAGGGGGGTGCTCAACTTGGATGGCAGGGCCTAGCCCTGGTATGTGGGACCACAGGTGGCTGGACAGGGGCCTCAACTCCACCCTTCTTCTTGGACTATCTAAGCACAGCCTGGCCCCCCAGCGTGGAGTCTTGGGGGACTCTGAGTCCCATCTTACTTACCATCTGCCTCCACTAACCCTACAGTGGCCAGGCCTTGAGGACTGAGGCTGCCTATGCCCTCCCACCAGGGTCCATTTCCTCCTGGCACTGCCCCACTCTGCCCTCACCCTGCCTGCTATTTGGAGTCTTGCCCAGCAAGCACCCACTCTGCATCCGGCAGGTGCTCGGGCTGGCATCCCTGCCCGGACCTTCTGCCCCATACCCCTCTTGAACACACAGAGAGCTCCCTGTCCCTCCATGGAACCTCCCCAGGCCTAGTGGCCAAGTCCCCCTCCTTGGGCTGCCTGGCAGGGAGGCAAGGGCTACCTCGGGGTTCTCGGTTTACAATGGTCCTCTCTTCCTGTAAGGAGCACAGCCGGCTAGTAAAGGGGGGAAGCTGCTTCCCTGGGGAGAGACACAGCACTCAGCTCACTTGAGGGCCCTTGGGGACTCCCTGGGACAGCATGGGGCTCCCTACAGCACTGGGTGCTGTTCCCCACCCCATGGCCAGGCTGGTCACCAGGGAACACTGGCACCGGACAGCAGACCTCAGGGTCCTGCTCTGTCGGCTGCCTGCTGGGCATGAGCATCAGGCTAAGGGGGCCTTGGCTTGCCCATCTGCCAGGGCCAGGGCCCCCCAGGTTGGCAGCTCCTGGTGTCCCTCCAGGGCACCCTCCAGGTGTCCCTCTCTTGGAGGGAGAAACAAGGTCTTCCCAAGGAGATGATCCCTGCAATCTCGACGTTGCTGAAGGTTCCAGGCTACCCTTCTCATCCCTCTGCATCAGGTCTTCTGGGGCAAGTTATCAGCTGCCTGGAGAGGTCTGTGGGACACAGGAGGAACTCCAGGAGAGGAAAGAAAAGCTGGCATGCTGTCCCTCAGACCTGGCTTGTGGCCATGTTTCTCCACTCAGGAGGCACACTAGACCTCAGAGGGCCACACCTGTCGTGGAAACAGGGACTAAGACATGTGTCCCCCACTTGAAAGTGTGACAAGGGCAGAAAGGGTTTCTGCAGGCAGTGGCTGACACTATCTCTCATTGTACCAAGGTGAATGAGCTGGAGAAGCCATGGCACTAGAATTTTCAGAAACCACCCATCCAGAAAGGTCCAGGCCCTTCCCACAAAAGCAGAGGCCTCAGGTGGGTCTCAGCCCCAGTCTGGGACACCAAGATAGGCCATGAGTTGGAGGAACATTCAACCAGCTGTGCCCCCATGCAAGAGCCGGGGCAAGAGCTGGGGTTCCGAGGAGTTGGATTCTGGTGGGTGTCTAGGCCACCTGGGACTCTTTCCTATTGGACCTTCAGGGAGGTGAGGTGCTCACTTCCAGGCAGGGCAGGAAAGCTGTGAACAATCTCCCCACAGAAAGGTGGGAAAACGCTGCCCACAGCGAAGAAAACCCAGAACAGTCAATAGCAGTGGGCTTATGACAGTCCGCTGTTATAGCCACAGAGAAGTCTGTAATGGCTGTGATATGAAGTCACAGGGTCTCGCAGCAAAGGTGGCAGACATGTATCACTGCTGAGTGGTTTTACTAGATAATGGAAATGACAGGAAAGGACGGACTGGAAATACATAAGAAGTGAAAGATAAGAAAGTGAAACAAGAAGTGAAGGATTTGTGTTGTAGGTATAGCAAAGCACCGAACACCCCAAAAGAAAGGAGCAACAGCAGCAGTCTGTGTGTGAGATGTGATACAAATATATGGTAAGTGCTTACCTTTACAAATGTTACATTAAAATACACATTGCTATGAATCTGTCTCAAAACCGTCCCCTTTGCTTCAAACACGCTCGTCCCATATTCTTGTCATGTTCTGAAGCAGTTCTGGAGTCCTCTTTCCTGAGTGTTCTTTTCAAGGTGGGATTAAAAATATGGTGGGCACTACTGCTAAGCACCATCCAACAGGAGGGAGGGCCGGTACAAACACCACGCCGTGTCCTCATCCCCCTTAGTCACTGGATGGGACGCCGAGCAGCTTCTGGTTCTCCCTCAAGTCAAAATGACCAGGAAATGTAAATGTTTCAATTGATTCAGGACACTGAGGCAGCACAAAAGACACTCAGGAAAGAGGACTTGCAGAGGCAAGAGAGCCAGGTGGTGGTACATGCCTGCGATTCCAGCACTTGGGAGGCAGAGGCAGGAGGGCCTAGCAATTTGGAGGAGCTACATGGTGAGTTCAAACCCAGCCTGAACTACATAGTGAAGCCCTATCTCAATAAAAAAAAGAAAAGAAAAGAAAGTGGCAATAATGATGGGATAAGTGTGTTAGAAGTGAGGAGAAGGAGGATTATGAGGGGAATTAATAGCTATATGACTTCTATTGTAATAGATTTAAGTGGTGTACATATTCACCATATTTTTATCACATCATATAGATCAGTATAAATTATCCAAATTGAAACACAAAGGGAAGATAATTAAGCAGAACAGAGGGAAACACATACATTTAGAGCTAACATCATGGTAAGAATGGGCTGCTACCCTAAGATCGGAATAGGGCCAGGATGCTCTCCCTCACCCCTCCCGGTCAACACCACACTGGAACCCCCCCGCCAGCTCAATGAGACAAGAGGAGGGAGTGGAAGGTAAACATGAAAAAAATTACATATAAATCTAATAAAATATGTATGGGACTTAGATGTGTTAAATTATAAAGCATCAATTAAAAAAATCTCATACACGAATAAATGGAGAGAGGTTTTATGTTCATGGATTGGAAGACTAGTATTTCTAAAATGTCAATTCTTCCCAACATTGTGTATAGATTTAACAGCACTCTGATCAAGTTCCACACTGACAAACAATTCTAAAGTTTGTACAGAAAGGCAAAGATCAGAACAGCCAAGGTCATAGTGAGAAGGATGGAGTTGGAAGAATTATGCTCTATCACAAGACACTTACCGCACGGCTACAGGTCAGCAAGGATATGAAGCACTGACACAAGAGGAGGCTCATAGAAAGGAAGCAGGTCAATGGGACAGACAGGGAGCCCACAAACAGATGCACACATATAGTCCACGGATCTTGGCAAAAGTAATGCAATAGAGAAAGGAGTCTCTCCGATGGGTAACACTGGACACACAGCCGACCTAGGCACAGACCTTACACCTCACACAAAATTAGCTCAAAATGAAGCACAACATGAATACAACATACAAACCCACACAATGCCCAAAGGAAACATAAAGGAACATATATATGATCTCAGGTGTGGTTATGACCTTTAAAATGTGACACAAATAGTAGGACTCAAAAAAAAAAAAAAGAAAACAACGAATACTCAGCGTTATTAGAGTTAAGAACTTCTGCTCTGTGAGAGACCCACAAAGAGAACAAAAGGATGAGCCACAAACTGGGAGAAAAGATTTGCAAAGCATTTATCTGACAAAACACTTATCTAAAATGTGCAGAGCACTTCAAACTCAACAAGGAAACAAACAATCTGACTGGGAATGGGTAAAAGACCTGAAAGAGACACCTCCCCAGAGAAGATGCACAGTGGGAAGAGAAGCGCATGACAAGATACTAGGCATCATTTGCCACTGTGGAAGAGCAAATTCAGAACACAGTGAGATGCCAACACCTGTCTGTAGAGGGACAGTCAGTAGACAAAGACTGGAGAGGCCCATGCTGGCAAGAAGTGAAGCCAGAGTACTCTTCATTGCTCTGGGAATGCAAACACAGTGCAGTCACCACAGCAGACAGCTTTTTACAACACTAAACATAATGTGAGCCAGCAATCACTCTGTTGCATTGAGAGGGTATAGAGAGGCAAGGAAGGAGGAGCAGGCAACTCATGGGTGGTGATCAGAAACTTATGCTCAGCTCAGTGAGAATGT